CAAATTATTTGTCTCAGATTTCAACTAGACGTGAATTTATGTGTTGTTTGGTCTAACTGTTGCTGGCACATGAACCTTACGTAGATGCTGATTATGTTTAGCCTTTATATCCTGCTTTTTCTCCTTCTATTTGGATCAGATTTATGTTTAATATAAAATTGGGAATTTGAATTTCAGGAACGGGAGGAATGTTTGACAAATTGTCATGTTTGGCTGCCACTAAAGTACCAGCTTTGAATGCCAAAATTCTTATACTCTTCTCGTCTTTTAGTGGTTTAGTTTACGTCTCGCCTGTTAAGCATGTTTTTTTTCTTTTCCGAGTAAGTATCCTATATATATTCAAAGATTTATATGTAATTATATCGTTATACGTTGCATTCTGTTCATATAGCATCCCAAGAGAAATTGATATATATGTATATATATTTTTTTAAGTTCGCATTTATATGACATTTCATCGACTACAAAAGTTTGCATAACTGATATGACGTTGCTACACTCATAAAGCCTCACTGAAAATGCCGTTATTGGAGTATTCCTGGAAACCATATTCGTTACTTGGAGTAGTTTTGTTCATAGCGACGTTTGGATTTTCAGCTTTCAGATATTTAATTCTCTTTTTGATCTGCCTTTTAGCGGGGTATACTTTGAGTTTATAACAGAATTTTCTCTTCCTTCTATTTTTATTTTTATTTTTTATTTTTGGTCATGGAGAGGTTATAAAGTTTGGCTGACTGCAGCCATTCTGTTATACACAAGTTCCTTTTAAAACAGTCAGCTATTTATGTTAAAACGGTTTAAGAGATAATCTATTCTTTCTCCTTTATTCTTGATCGCTTTAGAGTCATTCTGTTCATCATAAGAAATGGTGTTGAAAGATCAAGAATTGTGGCGAAACAGTTTAGAGATGTCACTGAAAATCATAAATTTTCTTCCGGATTTCCATCGTTCCTTGTGGGTAGACCCAGATACTTTAATAGGAACGTATACGATGATAAGCATTCCATGTCTTTTTCAAATACATTAGACCCTATTATGGAACAGGTTTTGATTTACATTCTACGTTAATAAAACTTAGTTACTTTTATCAGGTTCACAGCTGTTTTAGGCATATGATTTTTTTCTCTTATCTGTTTTTAGATTTTGACCTACATCATTCGCGACTTCGTTGAAAGTTGGTATTCAGATTTGACCACTGATCAGCTGTTCCAGGAAAGTCTTAAGAGGTCCGTCCGCCGTACTGTTGCTGCATTTTCTAAATGGTATGGTCAACATCAATGCTTGTTTACCTGAGCTATAGTTTTTGAGCAGCCATTGGTAAAATGACATACGCTTTTCTTTAAAGCCAGTCCTTTTTCTTGTCGTTTTGCGAGGTTACCTCGTTGATAACTGCTTTTTCTTTACAGTATTCGCAAAGTTGACTTTGTGCCGTTACTTACACAGCATTTTGTTGACGATTTTGCTTCGCATATGAGGCTTTATCGAAAAGCGAAGGTTATTTTTTAAAACATCTTAAATATTGTAATATGCGTAACTTATTTATAGTTTTTAGCTTACTCAGAAGAAAGTTATAAGGGAAAACTGTTTTGTAGGAACGTGCTCAGGCCACTTATGGCGATAGCTTTACAAATGGTGAACTTGAAACAATTTTTTTTGATCTTGAGTTGGATATGGAGAAAAATTATTGCAGAGACCTTGTTTCAACTTCATCTCATTATGAAAATGGTTGGCGTTTTTCTAATTCTAGTTCTAACAGGCATTTTGCCTTTTAAATTTTTTATAAATTCAAAACTAAAACGGTTTTAAGGTGAATATAGCTAGGAGATGTTGATGCTTGATGCACATTCTAGAAATATGAATTTTTAGCCTTGGTAATGAAACATCTTTCAGCTTATCTCCACGATGTTACTGATGTTCTTATGTATCTCTTAATGCCTCCAGAAGACTTCCGTTCAAGACCGTATAGGTTTTTGGTTCGAGAAATTATTGTGCAACGGGTTTTCATACCTGTCTTTGACATGTTTAGTGACCCAGATTACATTAATCACACTATCGTTTTACTAGTGAGTTGATGAGCACTAAAGATTCAGTTTTGGTTGCCTTATTTGCTATGCTACAGTTGGCCTGTTTTAGCTGAGTGAGACGCCTTTGAAACCTGAAGACTTCATAACAATTCTAGATGGCAGTACTGATGTACAGGAGCTTGAAGCTGTTTTGGAAGCATTATTGGAGGAAAGAAATTCGTTGCGGGCTAAAGATTCTGGTGGAGAACAATGTAAGTTAATCTTTAATTATCTAACAGGGGGATTTGAAGTACGGAAGCAGCTTCGTAAAAATATAAAAAGTATTCCTACTGGCAGATTTTTTAGCAGCTCAAGTGAAGTTACAACTGGCCAGTGTAGATTATGTCGAGAATTTGATTAAGCATAAAATGGAGTTGTTGGCGAATACACCTTCTACTGGAGTAGACTTGTTGACTGTAAAAATTTTTCAACTAATAGTACTTTTTTTTTTTAAGCGGTATGGAACCTTTTGTGTAATTATTTCTATTAGAGTCTAATTAGGAAGCCTCGTTTGAAATTTGTTTTTCAGTTAATAAGTTGTCCTTAGACGCATTTTGTTTGGAAAAATAGAATTTAGAGCTAATCGAGAACTCACTGCTTTTATTTACGTAAAAAAGAAGTGTTCAGATGTCTCCTTGTGACCAGGAAGAAAGTGACTTTGTACAGCTTCCATTACATGTCGTATTATCTAATAATGTTGCCAGCGCCTATTTTACCGACTATCTTTCTGCTGTTGGCGGACAGAACTTAATAGATTGTTATATGGCTATTGAAGTCGGTTTTTTTTTGCTTTTTCTTATCCAATTTCTTTTTCTTATAAAAAGTGTTTGAGATTTAAGGGCTTCAAAATTTCTGTCGATCATCAACTAAGAGGGTTGGCCGTGGGTGAAACAATTGAGAATGATGTTTACGAAACTATCAAAGAGGCTGCTAATTTTTTGTACCAACAATATCTTTCGCATTCAGTAAGTTCGTGGGTATTTGAGATTTCGACCTGCTAATGCATTCTGATATTTAAAGTCTTTAAAACCAACTGTCAGTAATTAATCATTATATTTTTATACTCTTTTCCTTAGTCTGTTACTCGGGTTGCCTTAGAAGAGAGTGCCATCAATAAATTTCTTTCAAAAATGCGGAATGATGAACCACCAGATGTATGGTTTGAACACATACAAGAGCGCATCGCAGAAATTTTAAAGACGGTTCGAATTGGAGATCTATTACTGCTATAATTTCTTGACAGTTTTTTGTATTCGTCAATTTTCATTATCGTTTTACAGAATGACGATTAGGAAATAAGCCCATATTTGTCATTCTTTTTTTGTAGGATGAAAAGTTCTACCCTTCATTTAAAAAGAATCAACTTTATCTTAAAATGCTTTTTGATTTGGGGATTGTCCCTGATGAATCTGAAACAGAACATTCAAATTCTGTAGCCAGCGATCGAGTACTCCCCAGCTCTTCAGACAATATCAAACAAGGAGTAGGTCATAAATTCATATTGCATTTTGAGAAAGTAAAGTTTTTTTGTTATCGCATTTTAGTTGCTGTCCTAGTGTTCTTCTTTTTTTCTCATTTTAATAATTCATTACAGGTTGAAGAGATTGAAGAAAAACAAATGGCTGGAACTCATGTGATTATTGAAACTTTGGGGATTGGACAGCAGGGTAAACAGACTTTTGCTTTGTATAATGTAAGGGTTAAACGAGTCGATGCTAACGGAAAAACTGTGTCTGGATGGAATGTACTGCGGCGTTATTCAGATTTCCACACATTGCATTCCGTCATTGAAATGAAGGTTTCTTGTGACGAAAACTAGATATCCTTAGATATTTATATATTAGTTCTATATTCAGTTTTTGACTTTTGTCAGACATAAAAGAACAAGGAGGGGGTGCTGTGATTCTTGCAGACGCTTTGTTGTTCTTTAAGCTCATTTTTCTTTTTCTGTTCTTCATCACTTACATTTCATGAGGACGTTCATTTCAGTATCCAAATCTAAATAATCTCAGCTTTCCGGGTAAAAAGACGTTCAACAATTTGGACCCAGATTTTTTGGAGAAAAGAACCAAAGCACTAAATATATATATGATGGTCAGACAGTTTCAGTTCTAAAACAGATTCCCTATTGTTAATTTTAGTTTTTCTCTGTTATCTCATTTTCAGCTACCATTTATTTTTATTGCAGTATTTTCAGTCGCTCTATTTTCAGAACATTTTGAAACCTTCAGTGCTTGAGGCTAATCCGAACCTCGAAAATATCATTTTCAATTTTTTAAGTCAGAAGGATTACGTGGGAGAACGAGAGGCTTTTTCTAAAAAGGTTGTTTTATTATTTATAAGTTTTAATTTTGTTTATTTTGCTCTCTTGGTTAACTATTTTTTCTTTATAGATTGTTAGCGCTATGTTTGACCCAATTCGAAGTGGAATGCGAGCGTTTGGTAATGCGGTTAATGCTGTTCCAGATTCTGTATATTCTGGAGTTACCAAGGTTGGAGATGGAATAAATAAGGCAGCTAAACAAGTGATTGGCTCATCTCAGGTGCCAGCTTTTTTGACAAGTGTAATCCCAGTTTACTAAAGTCTTGTTTTTTCACCCCAAGGTTTCGGCCATATTTTGTTGCAGAGTTCCGCCTCAACATTCACAGATACCCCTCTCGATACTGGTCGAGTTGCTGCAGTGTATAATGATCAAGTAAAAGTTTTAAATCCACTCAGGTTTAATTTATGCTTGTAAGACTACAGTGGCATTGTTCTCCAGAAATCATGAAGAATTTTTCTTCTGTAATTTGGATTTATTATGGCTTTTTTAGCAATGGATGGAAAGCATTCCATTAAGGGTGCTTGTTCTACTAATTGACGAGATATTTGGAGTAAGGGCTCAGAATGCTTGGTTCAGAAGACGTTTAGTTGCCATCCTCAAGCAGTTTGTTGATGCAGCCATGGGCTCATCCATTAATCGGAAAATTATTGATCTTGTCCAGTGGCTAACTTCGGAACAACAAGTGGCACAGTACCTCATTGCTTTACGGTACTTCGTAAATTCTCGGTTAATGGGTGTCCTAAACTGCTTGATGTTTTTTTTGTGTAAAGTACTTCCGCATTAGTATAAGATTTTTAACACATTCATTTGCTTCTCTAAACATCAGTTTCAAAAATTCTTTTAGCAATGCTTTTTGGCCCGATGGACACTTGAACAAGGGCTCTGAAGAGCGTTGTGAAGCGGTAAGGCTTCGTACACGTTTATTATCTCGAGCACTTCTTCTTGGCGCTTTACCTGATGAACTGAGGCTTTTTATTGGTTCAGAAACAACACTCGTAGGTGTTACAAACGTCTCAGAAGCGCTACAAAACGAACGTTTGAATAGACGACTGCTCTACGTGATTCTGGAGCGATTTCTCTCTACAATGTTTCCAGAAAATCATTTTGAGAAAATTTTTCCTTTGTTACACTCGAAGAGTCCTCGTTCGCATAGAAATTAGGTTGTCCTGTTTTCCTCATTAATTTACAACGCTTTTCCTAGAAATAAATGAGACGAAAAGGATGGGTGAGGCAAAGGAGAAACGTGAGATGTGAGGAAAAGAATTAGAGCGAGAAGATTTTTAAATGCCAAGCTTTAAATAGCCGTCTCCTTACAGAACAAGCTGGTAATTGACGACCACTTCTTATTTTATATTGAGAGTTCTTAATTCCACAGATGACTGATGAGCTTCATACGCTGCACTCACTTTTTAATTTGCAAAAGGTCTATAGTTTTATCAGCTTTCATGATTCCAGTTTGCGATAGGGTTCATTGATCTCCTTTTAGTGTTTCAAATAAATCTTTTTCGAGTGCTTCTGGATGGGTATAGATGGAGTGTTCCTGTACATATTATTAGCAGTTCTAATTATCCTTCGAAAGGTGCGAGTGCAGAAACTGGCTGGTTTCTTTGCACTCTCAAGATCATGCAGCAAGCCAATTTTTTTTTTAGAGCTTTTGATTCTGTCTAAAAAAAATAATTTTGTAGTTCTTGCCTTACTAGTCTTTTAGAAGAGCCACTAGTTCTGTGACTTTAACTGTTAAATAGTTTTCTTCACCCTTTACATAGAACTCACCTCTTTTGTTTATCACAACTTGAAGCTAGCAGAAGCGTGTTTTGCTCTCTACTTTTAACTCATTAACTATTCGTCATAATTACTACTTTTCAGTCCTCATACTTACAAAAGGTGTTGGTTTTTGCTCTAATGGGACATGCTTTTTATATTATAATGAATGGATTGCCTTTGTAACTTGGAAATAAAAATTCGCGCAATCGAAAATGTTATGAAATCCATCAACTTTGATTCTTTGAGGTTTCCTTATTCATTGGAATGGATGTACGTCTCACAAAAATAAATGATGGAACGGTCCACCGCTGGCACTGCGCGCCATACGCGTGTATTTGTGGGCAGCGCAAGCATTTATTTATCACTCCTCGTCCCCATTCCTAATTCTGAACGCATAATGCTTGCCAGGAAGTTTCGGAAGAGCTTTGATCCCACACTAATGTGTTAAAAACCTCTGTGCTGTGTCTTCTGTCAAAACATTCGTAGTGTAGGAATGAATATTATGCAAATGATCAAGTGCGTGTGGACTTACACAGAGTTATTTCTATAAGTTTTCGATTGCTAACCATGAAAAGTAAAATGCGTTAACTAGAAGTGATGAAGTGTTTCCAAGGCTTTTATTAAGAGCGTCGCTCGAATTAGAAATAAATGTATCTTCAACGAATTAAATGTTGAGGGGGCAACTTATGTTGGCTAAGCATAACTTCTGCTGCCGATCGCGCTTTTGGGATACAAACCGAAATCAAGCTTTTTTGTTACTCTTAGATCTAAAATCAAAGGAACTACAAAAGGTGCTACTCTTAGTCCCACTAATAGCTATACAAATTTAAAAAACTAGCGCAAAACATGAATATTTATAAATGTAAGCCATAAGCTACCATACAGCGAACAGAAGACTTATATAACAGGTAACAGTTAAATTAGTGACACCATTATGCACCTACGTTGAGACATCTTCCAGAAAACACTGGCCAAAGAAAACGGTTATGTATACAACAAACAATTAAAATATCAATAACAATAATTTTTTTGCTCGTACGCTTTATATTAAGAGTTGAGTTGTAACTATAACAAATTATAATACTAGTGAAATTAAGAAATGAAAGTGCTTTCACCACCAATAAAGCTTTGGTTTAGGTTGAAATTCTCAACTTAAACTGAACCCGCAAATATACTCGAACAACTAAACAAGCATCTAAATATAAGAAGCCAATAAATTCTTCTGCGCTAACAAAGACTGAATAAGTCTTCAAAAAACTTTGAATAATGCACAAACGGTCTAGCCGGCCCTGAATTTACAAATAACAAAGAAGGCTATTTTAATGAACGAAGCTAAGAGAAAAAAA